AGAAATTGACATCTGCCTCTGTGCTGTAACTGAAGTGTGGGCAGCTGGGGAGGCTTCCATCTTCCACAAAGAAGACAGTGGAATGAAAGACAAGACATGTACACCCACTCTTCAGACGCCTCAGGAGAAAGGCAAGTGCAAGAACCCTGAACCCCAACCATGAGAATGTTTCCATTTTTTATCCTCCAAAATTCAGTTTGAAAGGAATTTTTTTCTATCAAATTGAATGTGATCAGTTGAAAAGTTCATGGGAGACATTTCCAGGACATCAGGCTTCACTGAATGAAGATGTCTTGTCTTCTCATATCATTGTTTATTATTGACGTTAACTCTCTGAGTACACAGAACATATTTTTTTTCAGACGTGCTGACTGATCGCATGATAATGGCTCAAATTCTTGGGAATTGAGGAAGAGGGAAAATGTGATAATGAGAAAGAGAAGCAGCAGCATTTCAAGGGAATTCCTTCTGGAAATATTTAAGAAAAGAAGTCACATACTGTACAGTCCAACACCAGAAACAGGCTCTATAGAATCAACCAGTGTCAGGCATCAAGATGGCACTATAGGTATGCCTTGAAAAATCACTTGTGGTAAGAAGCAGCATACCTCCCGAGGTGACTGGCTCATTTTGCCTTGTGGTGCTGTTTAGTTGCTGTTACAGATCTCAGGTGCACTCATGATTTCAATAATTTTATTGACTTCCCTTTTTGGTGAAATGTGGATTATTGTTGAAAGAAAATGTTTCCAAACTTTTTTTGGGGTACAAATTCTGATCCCAGTACCCAAAACCATCCCAGGCATTTCATTCTTTTCCTTGAGAATGGGGGCATGGAACAGGAGAATGTACCTGAAAAGGAGTGTTTTTGTGTTGTTCTATGGATTACTAATACCGCCATTGCTAACACTATAGTGGTACCTCAACTTACGAACATCTCCACGAGCGCCTCCGTTTGCAAAAAGTTGCTTCGACTTGCGAACGGAGCCTCGACTTACGAATCAAAAAAATACGAAAAAAAACTTTCCTGCCCTTTTTTTAAACCTAAGTTCATCTCAGGTCAAAAGAAGAAAATCTCCCCTACCAATAAGAATACGGGTTAACTGGCTTTGCATTAGTTCCAATGGGAACTAATGCCTCTACCTACGAACAGCGCCTCGACATACAAACGAAAAACAGCCTGAAGGGATTAAATGGTTTTCAATGCATTCCTATGGAAAAGTTTGCCTCGACTTACAAACATTTTGACTTATGAACGCTGTTCCAATACGGATTAAGTTTGTAAGTCGAGGTACCACTGTAAATGGAAAGGAGGTACACTTTGGATGATCTCAGAAACAGTGCTGAGCTGAACAGGGAAGATTACTTTTAAGAAGAATATATTGGCATCTACTACCTCTGGCTCAGTTATTGATTGCTTCTTGATTTCTTTATACAGGCATCTACTACCTCTGGCTCAGTTATTGATCGCTTCATGATTTCTTTATATTCATTCATCTTAAAAGTAATCTTTCAATCTGTGTTAAGGTTCAGTTCTGTTCATTTCCAATTAGATAATCCAGTTCTGCTTGTTTCTGAATAGATATCTGCAAGTATTTGTACACTGTGCTGCTTTACACAACACACTGTCTCTTCTGAATGCGGTAGTCATGCAAAAAAGCTAGTGTTTCCTGCAAGATGACTTACTCTTCAATGAAATATGCAGAATTGCAAAAAAAATGCTGGGGGAAGATCTTGCAATACTGCCCATTTTACTAAATGATTAATTCTTTTAACAGCTGGTTCTTCACTGGCAGAACAGAACTATATTTCAAAGGCTGCATTTAAGAATAATTTTTAAAATTTTAAACACACTTATCTCCTGGCAGTCAGCCAATGCTTCAGCAGGAGGCCTTCATGAACAGATGAACTGAGCCTCAGGCCCAGAAAAAATATGGCCACCTTGTACTTCTTTTAATGAAATGTTTGGGTTGGTTTGTGTCCTAATTGACACCCTCATGTTGTTTTTTACTCTATGGGCTTCAGCCTACTGGTGGCCTTGCATTGGTGTCTAATCCTTGCAGATTGTCCTATGCTGTCAAGAGGCAGGCAGAAAAGTATGAAAGGACACTATAATAGGTAAGCCCCCACCCCCGACTTTTCAAAGGGATATGATGGTCATACTTTGCCCAAGGGTGGGACTGAGCATTGTAGGCTCAGTGCTCTCCAGGAAATGTTATGGGCAATAACAATGTGATCCTTTTGTCCGTATGTATTGTCCATAGGTAGCATGTCTATCTCTGTGAGCTGCTTCTTTGCTTGGGGAATTAATGTTTAGAAACACATTTTAAAAGGGATGTATTGGAGCTATTCTCTTGTAATTTCCACTCTCATGGAGTCTCATCTGATAATCTTGATCAGCAAGGTCATCTTTTTCCACTTTTTCATTACTATCTCCTATCCTGGAAATGTGGCAGCTCCTTTCATCTAAATGGATTTCCAGTTTAATCAACAATTCTATATGTAGCACATGAACATACAGACCTTTTGCAGGCCTAAGTCTTTAGCAAGGGGACAACAGAGCCCACACTGTGATGCAGCTGTTGCTTTCCCCAAAATACGAGATTCCCCAAAATACGAGATTCACACAGCAACATCATTGCAAAATTTGGGCATAGGTTTTACAAGTCTCTCTTCTTGTGCACGCCTCCTAATTTGGCTAAGTTTCCTTCTTGCTTTAGTTAGTTCTAAACCATTGTTTTTCCCTTCTAGTTCAACTCAACTCAGCATGGAGGGAGGGCAAAATCAGTCTAGAAAGTGGTGAGACAAGAAAAAAGTTCTAAAAACATGACTAGTTCTTTATTGATTAACTGTTTTAAATGCAGCATTAAAATATCAATACAAACTGTCATTAAAAATACACACAAAAACAAATGGGCTTTTAATTTACTGTCTCACTGCTGTCAACATGGGATAAGACAAAAGCATTCAAAGGAATATCAATATTGTGGACAGAGTTGGGCTACAGAGTGTTTTCATTAAATGTTACAAGTACACTATGTTTGTCTTAAGGTGTGTCCCTTCCACACTGTTTTTCAAAAATGGTTAACTTTGTTACTAGCATTTTAAGAGTCTAATTCAGCAATTTCCCACCCATAATGATTTACCCAACATACAAAACTGAAAGTTATTGGCAGAAGATTGTCCTTGTCCATTAGTATGGACTGAACCCTATTAAACCCTGACCTTTAGATAAATATTAAAATTAACACCTTTTATCCTATTGGTTCTCGTTGGATCCACTGAAAGTTATTGGCAGAAGATTGTCCTTATCCATTAGTATGGACAATTAGTATGGACAAGGACAAACCCTGACCTTTAGATAATTAAAATTAACACCTTTTATCCTATTTGTTCTCGTTGGATCAAAGTACTTTCTCTGCTTGGAAAACTTGATATACTCCACAACTTGAAACTTCTAGACAGATATCAAACTAGCTGCCTTAGCCTAAATTCAGTTTGTATGGCACAAGTTGAGCTAACAGTGCCTGTAGAAATAACCCAGCTGGGACACAGCGTTACCCACTCAATCCTGTGACTATCTCTCCCTCTAGTCTCATATAGCCCTGTAATACCTGTGTAAACACCTGATTCATCCAGACTGTGCCATTCATTTATATTTGTTAATACCTTGCCAGAATATCTGAGTACTGTGCAGAACCCCTGTATCTATCTTTTCTTCAGTGAAAAGGACAGCACATGCAAAACTGGAAAATTATACACTGGAAAGAACTCAGTGTAGCAGCAGTAGCAGAAAACAGCATCAATATGAACTGTCTTCCTCTCTTTATTCTTCAGTTCAAATGAAACTTACCTTTTGTCTTCTTTACTCTCCAACCCCAGAACACCCCTGCATTGTTGATCACTACCCAAGAAGAAAGAAACTTTACAATGATGCCAATGATATGGAGGTAAGTTATATTGGACATACGGTAGTAAGGTTGAGGAAGGGGAAATTTATGTGCAGTTGCCATTTTCAGCAGCAGCCACAAGCTTCTGCAATGTCTTGCTCTATCCTCTGATAAACTCCCCATGGAATACCTACATGTTACTTCCCAATATTCCACTTAGTTAAAAATGACAGGCAATGTCACCACCAAAAAGAAGAAAAAAAAGTTCCATCATTGTACGAAATGACATTTAAAGGGCAGTTTGTCCTCTTGGGCTTGGATTTCTGCTAACAAAAGTATACTCTTCTAAACCGGGGTGGACAACAGTGGCTGTCCACATACCAGAGGTTTTTGAACTCCAGCTCTCATAAGCCCTTACTACTGGTTATCATGACTAAGGTTAATTTGAAGTGGTCAACTAAAAACATCCAGGTGGCCAAAGGTGCTTGCCCAATTGTAAATCCCTCTAGGTCCAAAGGACCAAAGTCTTCCTGCAGCACCTATCCAAACAAACTGTTCATATGCTTTTCTGGCAGCATCAGCTATGATTATTAGCCGAAAGAAACAGTGCAGACTCCCCAGGTCCATGAAACACAGCTTTTTAGAAATATCTCTGGTCGTTATAGTCTCTCAAAAATAACTATCCGCACCTTACTCCTTTCCCCTCCAAGCTGGACGTTTAAACACAAAGACATCTGAAATTATAGCTACTGGGAAAACCTTCACAGCTGTGAAGATGAAACAAAATAAAATTTTAAGTACAGATTTGTAATGTTCTTCTAAATGGTGCATACAAATTTAACATGCTTTTGGTAAAAACACTTTAAAACATTTTTTTTAAAAAAACCTATCAAAATAAACAACAAAGATATTAAACCAAAGAACATTATATGGCTCAAGTGTTACAGATTGTCTTTGACATAACAGACTTTAGAATATACAGAAGATGGAATTTTTACTTGGAGATTATTAAAGTAAAAAAGGTATTACAACCAGAAAGGGACATGAGATCCAGTTTTAAAGTGAGTGAACATTAATTAAACCTTAATACTGTCAGAGTTTAGCGTAGCCAAGAAGGAAAGTGTTCTTGGAACACATCATTAAAACAAAAAATAATCACAGTTGAACTGTGCGCGCACACACATATACAGTACTGCTGTACTGAACTGTAATGCGGGAATGCATCACACCAGACATACTATGCCCACACTTGTGCACAACTAATATTTCATAATTGTTGGGCTTGTTCAGCAGTTTTCTGAAGGTAGACTTCCAGGTTTGGTACTTCCCTTTTAGTTATCAATTCAAATTTCCAAAATGAAACAAATTACTTAGAATGCAATAAAGCAAAACACATCTATATAAGAAGCCATAACCCAAGTATGTAGCTTCTCACTATAAACATCAACAGGTGGCAATCAGCTATAGCATGTTGTGGTTGTGGAATCTCTCTCATCTACTGGGAGGATTTTAAAGTGTTTCTAGTAAATGAATTTCAAAGTCAGAAGATCCCTCGGTTCTTTCAAGAATGTTTTCTTTAATTCTTCCTTTTCTGGAAGCTCTTGCTGGAGGTTCTTTATTACAAGCATTCATATCATACATACCGTGTCTTCTTCCACTGGCTACAAGAAGTTCATATGAACATATATAAATGCAATTGTTTCTTTTCCCACAGTCTGTTGGTCAATTTAAAAAGACAAAGGGATAAATTGTACTTGAGAATTCCTCTTTCCTTTTTATCATTGCCTTATCAGAATTCGTGGTTAGATTTTTTTCCCTCTCCTGAAGATTATTTCTAGTGTGTTCTTGGAAAAGATGGGTTTGGCCTTATAATCCATTCTGCATGAGGATTCACATGGTACAGATCTAGGAGGTAGGTATCAGGATCCAGACAATGTTCACCTGTTGGGACAAATATGGAATTTAAAAAATATCCCCCAAAGTTATAGTCCTATCAATCCACCCTAAATCTAGTGATGCATGCATTTATTTCAAGTGAATTAAAAAATTAATTAAATTTATTAATTAATTAATTTTGTTCACCTGTTGGGACAAATATGGAATTTTAAAAATATCCCCCAAAGTTGTAGTCCTATCAATCCATTCTAAATCTAGTGATGCATGTATTTATTTCAGGTGAATTAAAAAAATTCCCCCAGCAACATGAAGACTCTGAGAAGCACATCTCATAGCACTAACTCAAGTGAATTAAAAAATTAATTAAATTTATTAATTAATTAATTTAAAAAATTCCCCCAGCAACATGAAGACTCTGAGAAGCACATCTCATAGCACTAGCTACAGCACTAGCTACAAGTGAACATTAGCCCCAAAAAATGATGTAGTGAACAAAAATACAGCAATGCATGTATTGTGCCCTAACTATGAATTCTCTTGTATGTCATATTGTTCTAGGTTTTTAACTATAATTAAGTGGCTGTTCTTGGCCAGATCTGTTAGCTATTGTTCTAGGTTTTTAACTATAATTAAGTGGCTGTTCTTGGCCAGATCTGTTAGCTATAGATCAGGTTTGGCTCTTTTCTCATGTTTAGCTGGCTGTCCCCAACTTCATCTCCTTATTCTGTACAGCTCTCCTACTTATTTCTCAGGGGACCCCATTCACTTTTTACCTCATCTTATCATCCCTTTATTCAGATTTCCATCTTTTCCCCTCTTCCTTTATGTACTTGCCTTAGAGATCTGCAGATTTTGTGGGTTTGGACTGTGATTTCCAGAGTGCTAGAAGTTCTACTCCAAAGACCCAAATCTGCACATCTCTGGCGTGAGTCCTTGCTAATTACTATCTTAGCTGCAGAATAAAGTTGAAGACTTTAATTTACCACAGTGGTTGGTTGGACCGGAGTGTAGCTATATACCAGGCACAATCGCTGAAGCCAGAATAGTATAAAAGTACCCACATGCTCACACAAAATACCACTTCATCCCTGTCAGTATTTTTTGACTTTAAACACATACACAAACACAAATATAGATGGGACACAATGGAGATTGTTCTTCCATCAGTGGGACTGGAAGAGTGAGCAGTTTCACTTCTTTCTGCAGACCCTCACCCCACGCTGCACTCTCAAAGCCTGCCTAAGAGGGCTGAGGTTAGGGTTTTCAGGAGGCATGGATGGCTGCAGAGATGAGTAAAGGAAACCCTGCCACTCTAGCAAATGTTGGCTACCAAGACGCTGGACTTAAGCCTACAAACATGTATGCAAATTTTATTTAGTTTTCGAGATCTCACACTTTCCTTCTCTGTGAGACACATGGGTCACCAAAAGGAAGAGGAAAGCAGGAGAAATGGGGCACATCTGTTGTCCTAGAACCAAGCTAGTTTCCCACATACTAGGTATAGTTTGGGACAGTGTGCCATTACACGAATGAAAGATCCAAGCTTAACATGGGATTGAAGCTTTTTAAAAATGCCATTGCAATGCTTCAAGCAACCTAACCATGCTGTTTTGTAGGACTGCTCTTTCTTTCTTTCTTTCTTTCTTTCTTTTTCCATCTTCATATGCAATAAAATCAAAATGTAATATAAAAAATACAATTAAATATAATTAAACCCTGTCACTAGCTGGACCTACTTTAAATAAACATACAAATTAAAATACATTTGTCCATCTCAGACAAATTTACAATCGTAGAAGGCAGCTTTGTACAATTTAACCTTAATTACCATCCTGAAAACAGGAACAGTGCCTGATGAACTTCTGTAGGAAGCTTGTTCCCGATGAAAGTTGGCTTTTTTTTTTGCCTCCTTAGGTGTTACAATTCTTAACATTAAAAAAATGCAAGGAACATGTGGGATGGGTAGCTGTTCTTAGGAAGAGACATTCCACCAAATATCAAGGTCTTAAACTGTTAATTCATCATCTCAATCATTTCTGCAACAGTTCCTTCTTTCTGTTGCCCAAACGTGCATCTTCTCCCACCCACACCTGTATTTCCCTTGTATTGTCTTGACCAGCTAGTACAATGCATATTTATAAAACCTGCACATTAAAACGAAGAAACAGCAGTACTGTAAATTCACATACATATGTTGCCGCCAACTTCATACAACAGCAAATTAGTTGAATCCACTGAACCATTGCTGAAAAACAAGAAGAAAATGTAACTCTGTTATAAACAAACTGCAGAATAAGACAACCTATTATACAGTATATACATCCATCCATCTATCTACGAATGGCATGTCTCTTTTCATTGTGCTAGGCATCTATGAGCTGGCAGGATAAGAGAGTTTACTAACTCAGTTCAATATTATGCTCATTTAAACGCCCTAACCTCTTTCATAGACTTATGGGAACTGTAATTTGCTAAGGATGCTCAAGATTCCCTAGATCTCCACACTGAGAATTATGATTCCCATGATCTCCTGGGAAGAGATAAAAAAGAATTCAGGTAAGTGATATCAATACACGTTCCCTGGTCTCAAATCCTGGCAAAGGACACATTTCTCAAGAAGGAGAGAAAAAGGCTAAAAATCAATAAAGATCAACAGCACTCAGCTTGTTTCAACAGCAAAATTGGACAAAGCTAGAATGTGTGAAGAAAAAGCTGCAGTAGCCCCAGGTGGAGACAGTTGCTGTTAATAGAGCATTAAGTACTAATGCCTCAAATCCACACCAGCATGCCCAAGAGACTCACTCCATTATTAACCTCCTCTTATTCAATATATACTTCAGCAGCTAAATAGCTCAGTGAGTTAAGTATTTGCCTGTGGAGCCAGTAGTTGGGAGTTCAATTCCCCACCTTGCAACTCAGCAAAAGAATGAACCTGTGCAGCCTTGGGCAAACTGCTGTTCCAGGACACCCCCTTAAAATAATAGAATGATAAACCCCTTGGGCAAACTGCACAGTTCCAGGACACCCCCTTAAAATAATGGAATGATAAATAATTTCTAAGTACTCTACAGCTACAAAACCCTGTAAAGGACCACAAGTCAGAATTTACCTGATAGCATGACATTATTCTCTTAAAGAAGAATGCTAACAAATGTAGTCAGTTTGGGACTTAATTGGTCTTTATTTATTATACACATTCCCACTTAGATTGCTCAAAACTGCCTGGAGATGGTAACTGGTGACCTCTCATTTGGGTAGTTGACAGGGCCATGCCTGCTCAACCTCAACAACCAAGCAATTGCCCACATTCAGACTATGTCTTTGACACAAAAGGATGATATAGATCTCATTCACTCCCATGTTACAGCTATATACAGTGAGCATACAGACCAACAGACAATCTTTGCACAGATGGAGTCTATTGCTCTTTGGGCCAAACCACATCTGACAAATGCATCTTTGCATTCAACTGTTTTTAAAAATAAAAATTACATCCAAAGACAGAAGGACTATAATCCTTTCCCTGCTATAACCCTGAGGAAAATCCATCTTCAGAAAAAGGTATTTGTTTTGGGAGAAGGGCAAATCATTCCTGAGTGCTGAGAGGAATTTCCCATCCAATGTAAATATTACTCTCAGAGGAAGGACTTCCCTGCAGGTCAAATTCTTTCTCCATGCCAGCAATGGTCCTATCCTCTCTGACCAGCTAGTACAATTCATATTTTTAAAACCTGCACATTGAAATAAAGATTAATTCTGTTCCATACTGAATTAATTCTGGTATTTTTTCTAAATCTTCAGTTTTGCAAAAAAAAATATTTGTTTTTAAGAAAATAGAGACACAGGAGAACATTTTGAAGGAAACACCCAAAATGTAACAACCTACACCCAACAGCTTGTTCCAACTAGAGTGGACCCACTTAATCAATGGAGTTTAAACTAGAGTTAACTTACCAAGTTCCCACTGATGAAATGGGTCTACTCCACTTGGGACTAGCAATTGGATTTGGGCCAAAATTCTTTCTAGAATGCCAATCAAAAGCAATGGTCTTAGTTTACTAGTTTTTTCCTTTTCTCTCAAACTTGGACCAGCCTTCTGCTTGCTGCAGATATTGAATATCTTAACATTGTATCACCAGGCCAAAAAAATCACTATTCACATTCAACTTATAGAAGGCAATGATTTTATATGTGAAATCAATAAGCTAAATTGAAGACTATGTGCTCAGGACAGATATATTCTACAATGCTGAAATTTTATGGGTTTGTTACCACTTGTGGATGAATTCTTGATGATGATTATGATGTGCCATCAAGTAAATTCTGACTTATGGTGAACCTTGTCAGGGTTTTCCAGGTAGAAAAGAGAAGTGTTTTACCATCTCTTTCTTCTGACAGCACCCTAGGACTATGCAGCTTACTCAAGGCTACACAGGCTGGCTCTTCCCCTACGAGGCACAGTGGAGAATCAAACTCCCTACCTTTACCTGATCCACTGAGCTATCCAGCCAGCTTAAAGCAGGTACACCCACTCAAAAAGTTTTCCCCACTTTGAGCCCTCCTGAAAACAACAGCCCATTCATTTTAATAAACATCCCTCCCATCTCCATGAACAGAAGCATTTTGCGTATTGCAGTTAGGCCCCTCATTTTCGCAACCATGGAAAATATAAATGTTTGAATTCTAGATATTGTGCTAACAATCCCTGACAGAGGCTCATCTCACTACACATTCCTCCTGCCTAAACAAGGAGGAAGGAAGCATGTGAAGGCAAACTACATCTGCTTATAGCTGTGAGCAAGCTATTACCATTTGATAAGGCTGACTGTGTTGACGATGTTCCAACCATTCTGACACAGGTTCTTCTGGAATTGCCTCAAGACATCAGCCACTTTGATTCCATTGGTTAAGTGAACTTCCAGAGAGTCCTTCAGGAACAGGGAAGCCTGAACTTTCACTATTTTGGATGGCTGAAAGAGGAGACCACATGCAGGGGTGAAAACAGCAACACACATGTAGGAAAATCCAGGTAGTGATAGAAAATTTAACATATATGTACAAAAAGAAGACTTGTGGATGTAATAAGACATTCAATTTGAAAAAGATTTTCCTTTTCAAATAGCTGTTACCCATGCCTTCCACCAGACTAGGTGCGAATGGCAAGGACTGGTACAAAGCAATGAACATTAGAGTATGATCTATCACATAACGATATAAATCAAATGGGCATGAGCTCCACCTGGTGTTTAATCGGGGAAACATCAAATGTTTCAAGCAGGAACCACCTCTGACATCAGAGAAAACCTTTTTTTTAAAAAAAAAAATACCAATCACTGATTTTTAAGAAAGCAAGATGTCAGAAAAGGCTGAGTGCTCACATTCAGTCCCAGAGGTCTCCCTCTAAGACCTAAAAGGTTCACACAGCAAAGACTCCCAGAAAGTACTGAATTTAAGAAACGACAGGGGAAAAGGAAACAATCTCTCTCTCTTCGTTTGCTATCATATCAATTTAAAAGTGAAAACACACGCACAACCAGAAATTAACACTTTAGAAAGAAAGATACATCAGTCCTTTGCTATGCCATGGACTATGGACTCCATCACAAAGTTGCTACAGTTGCTTCTTTAATAAGGCCTACATGGCAGCAGGCAAGGCTCAGTTATTATTGCCATTGTCCTTTTCCAATACAGAATCCGCTACTACGGGTGTGCCATTATTATTTTTTTAGACCTCAAATCACAGAATTGTCCAAAATTTTGCCAGGCAACATTCTGGGAGTTCCCACCCACAAATGCATACCTGCCAATACCGTTTCAATCACCTGGGCATGAGCAATACCCCTTAAAGTCCTCCTAAGACTTCATTCCCTACTGCAATGCTTCCTGGGAGTGGTGGTTCTTCAGGAGGTGTCATCAATAGAGCATAAGAAGCAAGCACTGCTAGGAGGCACTGCAGCAGGAAATGATGGCCTAGAAGAAAGCCAACAAGGATGCTTTGTTCTTTCCAGAGGAGTACTGCAGCAGGAAATGATGGCCTAGAAGAAAGCCAACAAGGATGCTTTGTTCTTTCTAAAAGAAAAGAGAAAACAGAACAATTTAAAACTATGATATGGCAATAAGTTCAGAATGGTTGTTAGCATGTTATGGTCTCTCCTCTTCCCCATAAATTCCTAAGTCCCCTTTTGCTTTTTGTTACCCCTTATGTTAAAAAATAAAATTTAAAAAAAGGATGCTTTGTTCTTTCCAGAGGAGCGAAACGAAGGTGTCTACAGGTATGTGTTAGGGACTTGGAACTCCCAGAATCCTGCCTGGGGAAATCTTGGAGAATTCTGAGATTTGGAGTCCAAAACAAACAAAAAGGAATGGCACATCTTCTATCAGCTACTGATAGAGTTTTTCCCCAAGAGCTGCCAAGGCTTCAGCATCCCAGCATAGATTAATTCTGAAATGTCCTGTGCACCAACCGTTTTTACCTGGTGCTCAATGAGTGCTGGCTACAACTGCTAGCTAATTTACGGGTAATGGGGCTTACTTCTATCTCCATGTGTACCCCTCAGCCTCTCTGAAGGCAGTCCTCCAGAACAGCAGTCCCCCAACCTTTCTGGGACCCTGGACCGGTTGAGCCTCTAAGGTACCCCTCCCCGCGTTTGCGCTCTGTTGGGTGCATGCGCGAAGTGGTGGAGGAACATGCCCGCCTACTGGCGTGAGCACCACCCCTGCATGCACACCCATCCCTTCGCATGGATGCGTGAAGGGGTGGGGGAATGCTCATGCTGACACTGGCATGCATGCGCATACACAAAGCAGCTGTGGGGAGGGGAATGCATGCAGGGGGAAGGTCTGTCTCCGCGGCCCGGCCTGGCTCAGGCCACGGACTGGCACCGAACCGCGGACCGGGGCTTGACGACCTCTGCTCCAGAAGATCTGCAGAGGTTCTCCTCAACCTTGGAACTAAACCTAATTTGGTCCTTGGATTTTACAGTGATGAACTGAAAGAAGATTTCTGTGCATGCCTTGAGTAGCCTGTATAATTAAATTGTAAAGCACCCAGAGAGTACTTTAAGCACTATGGGGTTTGTTATATAGGCCACACTGAATTCATTCATAATATGGAGGAATAGGGAAATTCTGGCCATTCAGATAATGCTGGTTTACAGCATTATCAGTGCCATCCGGCATGGCCAAAGGTAAGGGGCCCTGGGAACTGCAGTCAAACACATTTGCCAGATGAGGAGTCGAGAGCCCTCTACTCTATGCTGCAATACGGCATTCTTTGAAAGTACATGTGTCGTGGCCTGCTTGTTTCATAGGGTGCAAAATTAAGATTCTGCATTTGCAGGATAATAATATTTTGGAATAGCACAAGACGTTAAATCTTGTGTAGCTAAAACAGTCCACGTTGTTTCACAAATCCTTTTACAATAACCCCAGAAGACAGACATGTGTGTTATATGCTTGGAAGAAAGAATTAGTAGATAGTAAGGCTACCCAGGAAATGAATGATTGAGTTTAGCAGTGAGAATTTGAGTTCAAAATATTTTAAGAGGCCATTGCAGATGGCAATTCAGCCACATATCACAGAAACAGAAGTACCTAAACTCTGATAAGGTGCAAACTCAACTTGCTTTTTTTATTTTCCATTTATGTGCAGGTGTATACACATAGCTCCAGATCCTGACACATACCATTAAACTAACTAAAGGGCACACAAGAAGCTGATGGCAAAGTACTTGGAAATTCTGCTTTTGCTCCCAACTCATTCTATATCAATCGCACACTAAATTCCCAAATGTTAACTCTTGTTTCCAAATGTCCCCAAATGATTTCAAATGGTCTAGCTCCACACTCTGATGAGACAGAAAGATAGTTGGGGGTGAGTAAGGAGAATTTAACTCACTTCACCATGGTTCTTTTCAGTCTTTTCCTTGTCTGCATGAATCTTTCTTAACAGGTTCTTGATCCTCTTGTCATAGAACTGGTGCTTCCTACTGCTGCTCTCATTCAGTTTTCTCACTTGGGTTACCAAGAAGGATGGAACCTAGAAGAAAGAGGGAGAGGAAGAGCAGGTATACGGCTAGGAGTAAGACAAATCCTAGTTTCATTGAAAGGATTGTGGGGACATAATGTGTCATTTTATTTATAACCAGTATTTTCTTCCATAGAGTTCCAGATGCTCCACTTGATTCTCTACATCTCCAGTTTATCATAATAACAATTTTGATAGGCAGGCTGTAGATTTTCAGATTGTGGCTATTCATATTCAAAGAGTGTTTCTCAGCCCCAGTATAACAACTGAAATACCATTCATGTGGGAAAACAAGTGAAGGACTTCCGCAAGAATGGATCTTTTAGGATTTTAAAGTGGGCACACTCTTCTTTTTTATGTTGAACATTGGCTTGGATCCACTGTCATGCACAGCAAGAGATCCAGTTAGACCAAAGGGCTTAAGTTAGTCAACAAAAGTATGTCTTTGGAAATACACTTACAGTCCAGAGCAAATCCTGGTAATGGATCATCATCTGTACAATGTCAGCTGCCCCCTCTGCCAGCTGTTTCTCCTTCCCTTCTGGGATTTTGTTTGGCAAGCCCTTGTGCATGAAGAGATTTGGTGCAATGACAGTGGAAACATTCCAAAGATTCATCTTGTTTCTTCTTTCTCTAGAAACAACCAGCCTCAAAAACTCCAGCAAGGCCTGAAAGTTTGGAAGAAATATTATTATTGCCAGGTATCAACCAAAAAACACATACACACACAAAAAGACTTGTCAATTTTAGTATGGATGTGGAGGGTAAGAATACCAACAGCTCCTTACAAATACTGCCCTTTAAGTTAGTTAAGGTCCACAGCATCTTAGACAGCATGTTCTTCAGTCAAACAGATGGTGTGATGTTCTACAGCATAAGCAGTTTGACCCTTCCATCATTCACGCTAGGAGGTAGCCACTACCTCTGTGTAAAAGTAGCAGCCACAGATACTCACATGGGTGATCCCCACACATGCAAGGATAAGCTGTGAGATCCCACATTACTGGAGGCGAGCATTGTCCTCACACAAATGTATATACATGGGATGGATATTTAGGTGTTTCCAGCACCACCATTGGGCAAATCAAAGAGCATACATGGGGCAGAAGAGCATCCTCATAAGTCCCTCATGTTAAATCCAGCATTTGTGGAATTAAAAGTGTTAAAAGTAAAAAGACAAGATACAAACATAAGCAGGGGAAATGCTGAGTTGGCACCAATGGAAGATGAGTGTATGCTTGTTCCCTTAGAAATTAACTTTCCTTCTACGTATGCTTCCTGCTGCAAAGTTGCTGATTAAACCCTCATAAGTCCCTCATGTTAAATCCAGCATTTGTGGAATTAAAAGTGTTAAAAGTAAAAAGACAAGATACAAACATAAGCAGGGAAAATGCTGAGTTGGCACCAATGGAAGAAGAGTGATGCTTGTTCCCTTAGAAATTAACCTTCCTTCTACGTAGGCTTCCTGCTGCAAAGTCGCTGATTAAATCACCAACATTTACTGTTTAAAGATCTGTTTCTTTAGTTATTCAGCATCCGGCATGTACCCTCACAAACACAGCTGCAGCAGGAAGGGGCTGCAGCACCACTAATTCCAGATCCAGCAAAGAGGAGCCAGAAGAAAAGAGAAGGAAAGGTTGGAACATGTACTGGTGGGACTGGAAATGTTTCTTCCATCTTTGTTTTTCAATACAGTGGTGCCTCGCTAGACAGTTACCCCGCCTGACAGTTTTTTCCCGCTAGATGCCTCGCTTTTGTGATCGCTATAGCGATTCGCAAAACAGTGATTCCTATGGGGGAATTTCGCTGGACAATGTTTGGTCCCTGCTTCGCAAACTGATTTTTGCTAGACAACAATTTTGACAGCTCCCTCCGCGCTCGCAAAACGGGTGTTTTTGGGACCTAAGCTTCACAAAACAGCTATTTAAACAGCTGATTGGCGGTTCGCAAAGCAGCTTTCCTATGGCTGATCTTCGCTAGACAACGACGATTCATCCCCATTGGAACACATTAAACAGGTTTCAATGCATTCCAATAAGGAAATGCTTTTCGCTAGACAATGATTTCGCTAAACAGCGATTTCAGTGGAATGGATTATCATCGTCTAGCAAGGCACCACTGTATAAATGAGCTATCCCCAACTTGCTGTTCTGATGGACAGGGGAAAATGGAACTGGTAAAGGGGAAAGGATGACATAAAATTCTAAGTGGTGCAAAGGAGACGCAGACCTCCTGCATTGCGCTTCTCAGAAGGAATTAAAATGGCCAGTGTCCAACATGCCAGGCCACTGGTCCAACTTTCAAGTCCAGCCCCATATGCAATTGAGGAAGACAGTGTTTGTAACTGTGTCTTTACATATTTAAAGAACATTCTTTGGCCTGTCTCACCAGTTTACAGTTACACGAAATCTTTAGGTTATGACTGAGAGGCATTGTGGGAACACTTGCAAAAAGTAACTTTTCTAGACTTCAGGAGTGACACTGCTACACAGAAAAATTTCCACAACAACCAATACTATAGAAGGTGATCCTGTTACCTTCAGGGTGTTCCGGTTGGGTTCTGGCAAAATTAGTATAAGCAAATTGAGAGCCTGCAACCTCTGTTTAGTATCCGGAATATCTGTAGCAGAGAAAGTATATGTAAAGTGACACATCCTTGGAGATGAAATATCTAATTTAGGAGCCTCTGGCCAGAAACATGTAGAAACATCAGTAAGTGCAATATTAATTATATAAGTAATTCGCATCGTTTGGTAGGGTATCCATGACAAGACCTGTTCCACAACTAAAATGCATGTCGTAATGATGAGAGTTGAGTGGATTCTGGCCTCTTCAAGATTCCATTTTCCTGTGGACTGCACCATTTCATACCTACACTATGTTTTCGCTGTTCTTTTGTTGTTTTTTGGACTACAAATCCCAGAATTCTCCATTCTGAGTTTCACCCCAGACAGAAAACAGGTACAAACACTTAAATCAGTTTCAGCTTCCATTCTTAACAAGAAGACAGGCTTTTCTCCCAGATGAGACATATTTAGGTATCTGTAGCAGTGTCAAATGAGACTCCAAAACCTGAATAGCACAGCCTAATGCACACTTCACAATGACAGCATTAGACACACAAATGCCCAGTAAACTTTCTTGAGTACAGCAGAATGCATCCAGTATATTACTGGGGAAATTAACATCTATCTAGTATACAGTGGGGTCTTGACTTGAGAACTTAATCCGTATTGGAAGGCGGTTCTCAAGTCAAAAAGTCTGTAAGTCAAGCCGTCTGTAAGTCAAGGGTCCACTGTACCACAATAACTCCCTAATATGTGCCTGACAAGGAAAAACACAGAGAAACAAATGTTTAGGGTGGTCAATGGCTGCTTATCTTGGGATCAATGACTCACTTTGTACAGCCGAGAAGGCAGGTAAGTATTCTGCTGTCAACAGAGGAGTAGGAAGTTCCCGGATGAACCTCTTCAGCAAGCCGGATACATCATTCTGATGGACCTCATCCCAGTGGAAGAAGCCAGTATAGAATTCATTTTCTAGCTTTTGTTCCAGACTCTAATGATGGAGGAAAGAGAGACAGACTTTGATAAGTAGATCTCAGAGCATGGGAGAAGAAGGAAAGAGGAAGTAAGATCAGTTTTTCCACAGAACATCTTTAGCTATTCCTTTTCTTACCCCTGCCTCAGAAAAGCATTTAAAGAAATTATCACTGAAGCATAATGCTCCGAAGAAAAGACTTCCATATTCCAATCATCCTGGCCCAAACACAAATAATACAGACATAATGTCTTTCCATCATTGCTCCTGTCTCTCTGAGGGTGTGTGGAATTTCACGGAGCACTAGAAATGTAATAACCCAGTACGGCACTTCAAAAATTGGGGAAATTAAAAATGTTCCATGGGGTGGGGAAAGGCACTACTTTAAAAAATACCAGCTGGAGTTCTCTATAACATGTAACTATAATGTATTACCAGTGGATAGACATGGGGATGAATTTTAAAAAATGAATCATGATATTCATCTGAAATCGCTTGTTCATTATTCCTCACTTTGTATTCATCAGTTCTGGAGGCCCTGCCAAATACAAAGTGATGAATATTTACCCATTTTATTAGTCCCCTCATTGGGCCCACAGGCTGCCAGAGATGGGGGGGGGTTCGTCTCCATCTCCACCAGTGGGTGTTTGGAAAGATCCTTCTGCAACAGTCCTGGAGCTCATTTTTGCTTGCTGTTGCCCCCTACTGGCCAGGCCAGGAATATGGGCTATCACAAGAATAAAGCAGACCTTTCTAGCAAAATATCTGCAAGTAATAGTAAACACAAGAAAACTCTATTCAGTTCTTCTGAAATTAAGATAATCAATGCTTAGAGCAAAGAGGCTGGTCATGTCTCCCACCCTTGTTACTGTGCTCACATGCATGGCATCATGTCTGAACAGAAGTCTTGCTTGTGTATAGGTGCTACTTGTGAGCAAGAATCCAGAATTTTTAGTGTTTTGGCTCACACACAGAACATACAAACAAGCAACTTCTTCTCTTCTGATCGGGCAATATAATACAAGCAAAGAAAGGAGGGAGGGGGCAAGACAAGCCTATCTCCCATAACTATATTGATGATTCTGGATTTCAGAATGACTGATTTCTCCTCTTTTGTTAAGGGGGAGTTTGTAAAGTTAAATTTCAAAACTGACATTGGCATTGAAGTTAATTTATTGGGGGTAACTTGACTGAAGTTAAGAGTATTTCTTGATTGCTTTTAAAAATTACTTTTAAAGGGCATCTTACAAGTATTCAAATATGAATTTTTCAAGTACTGTGCTTTTTCATCTTGAGCCTACAGTTTTCTTGCAGAGAGAGAGAGAGAGAGAACGAACGAACTAACAGGAATATGCAGCAAATTACTGTTTTCAATACTGCAATAAATGGCAATAAGGAATGTTTCTCAATCACTATAAAAAGTAATGGGAATAACATAATTTTTAAAATGGACTTTCCAAACTCCGATTCAGCTAAATACACAAAAGCCCCCCTCTAAAGATGCCCATGTGTCACATACAGTTGTTAAGTGATGGCACCATACAGCACATGGAATGGCAGAAGTGGGGCTACTTAGTGCAGGTCTGTCCCTGCTTAAGAGGTGTGCTTACTATTCTGAAATAAAACCTGAACAAAGTTACTGCTCCCTATCCTTCCCCACTATGTCTGATGGAGACACTGCTTTAAGTTGGCTATATCTGCTGACAAGAATACCAATTTGTTTGGGACAAGGACTTGACATTTATGGTAGGGATATTTGGCAACCCTAGAAAAAGAAACTCTTCCAGATGGTTTGGAAACCCTAAACAAGTCCAGCAATTGGGATGGTGCTCAACTAGGGGAGTAACTGACAGCAAGAGGACTTCTTTAACCCAGGACCCTTTTCATCATAAATCTTTTTCCTATCTCTGTTGAAAAACAGTAGATATTCAAGGTGTCTCCCAACCATCCTCATATGACAAATCCACTAAACTGTTTATTGAGACCGTGGCTCTTTATTCATCTAGGTTCCACTACAAGTGCAAGTATTTCTGTAAACGCAATATTGGATTTACAGAAATTACAGCACCAAACTCCAGCAAAAGAAAGGCGATGGATGGCTCACTACAACTAGACTGCAGACCACAGGTGGACTATGCTCCCCCTTTCTGTCTGGGATACAAAAGACCGTTTACTATCTCTGCAGACAGCAGCGACCATTGAAGGTGCCAGTCTTTGCAGAAATCCTATGCATCAAAGTCCAATCTTCTCAAGAACTTCTGATACGATTCCAAGGAACCGCATGATCCACAAAGACATTGTTTGAAAACCATTGCACTATACCTTAATACGGGACTGTGATCCTGAGACTCTCAGAATACCTTCTGTTTCCAGCCCTTTCTTTTCCAAACATGATAGTAACTGTGCAGGAAAATGGAAAGAAGTTTTCATTAGAAAAGCAAAAGATGGGGTCTGCAGCAGAAGCCAAGGACCAAAAAACAATGTAAAACACTTTGAAAGAAACTTACCGCTTGCAGAATCAACGGAATTCGGGTGTTTGGGAGGAGCTTTTGGTCATTTTCTAATAAGGTGCCAAGTGGAACGCCAAAAAGCTTGTGCTCTGCAATGCAGGATATGGTGCCATAAGTCGACTGTCATAAATTTTGAAATGATCAGAAAACAAGGAGGTGGGGCTACCTATCAACCAGCAGAAAGTCAGAAAATGGTAACATAAAATCATAGGACACACTGACCAGATATGATGAAAATCAACACTTGATGTTGTGCAAGCAGTGATAACTATGAAGAAAAACTGTCTTCCACTTGCATAACAGCAAGTTGTACTGCCCCAAATTACAGGCTTGTGGAATTCAGCAGATGCTCAGTAAGATACTGTCCTTACTCAGAAAGGTAGGGAGAAAAACTACCTGCACCCTTCCGTTTTACAGCCTTGTTTCTTTTCAGCTCTACATTGAGGATGTCACAGAGGGCCGTCAGCTCAATGAGTGCTAGTGTGGGAATCTTCTTCATATCCTGGGATGATAGATCTCCTGTCCTGGTGACTCCCAGCCTTCCCTTAGAGATCCTAAATTTCTAAACCAAAAAGGATAAAAATGACATATCAGAGTTAATAGTTCTCAAATACTTCTCCCATGATTAAGGGACACACAAGAGTCTGCCAAGATATAGCCAAGTCTTACAGGTAAATAACAGTCATCTTTGAACCTCCTGGATTCCCTAGGAAATGATCCTTTGAGCAGGATAGCTGCTTGTTCAGAATAAGCAATTTCGGTACAGAATAACTCCTCCTTCACAGAACCCCTCAGTGGCGATGGGAAGTCCTGGATTCCCACTGTATCTGCTAAGGAAAAAAAAAATTTTGGAAGGAAGAAAAAAAATCACCCTTTATATATAAAAATTGCAAAGCAAGATGAACTTATTAGAATAGTTGAAATATATGTACACTGTTATAATCAACTTACTGAACTGCTCATGCACCGCAGTCCAGTCTATTTAAGAGTCAATGTTAATTACAGGAGCAGTCCATTATTCTACATTTTTATTTTATGTTATTTTTGAATGGCAGACATCTGGTCATAAGTTGCAACTAGAGTGGGCCCATTCAATCAGTGGGTATTTGGTGTGTCAACTTCTTTGAACTAACTCTGCTTGTGGCACTATGTATATCCCATGTTCTCCAATATATTAGGAATCAATCTCCTGAACAACCTGATTTTATAGCCTAAGTATTGATTGCCAGTCTGCATCAAGTGCTTTTAAGCCAGTTTTCTGCAACTGACAAAAGCAATAATCAAGCCTTTTACATTTACAAATCCAGGTGCTGTTGAAGTAGTATGTACAACCTGATGGTTTTTTCCTGTGCAATGAGTTTTGTTTGACCAATTGAGACAAAACTTTTGAAATTGCATTTTTTAAATCTGATTTTGATTCTTATTTTTTTCATGTGAGTTTTTCTTGCGAATTCTTGCAAACTGACATGACAAGTGCTTCAGGCAGTTTTTCATTTAAATATTTTAGGCAAAAATGGCTATGGAGAACTGTGATTCTAAACAAGCTGAACAATTTTAAGGTGAGAATTATTTAAACTGCCCTTGAAATATGCTTTAGACATTATGGGGTGTAATGTCAAAGTTGCACTTTCCCACTGACACCGAGAATACAATAGAAAGTTTAGCCATTTATTAAAATTTATTCAGTATATCAATTAAAAATGACACTTCAGCTTTTACAGGCAACCTTTATAATAATTCAAGATACATAAAGTAAGAGCTGATTCTTCTAAAGTGAAAGCAAATCAAAGTTCAACAATATTGCTTTAACTTTACTTTCTCATATAAGAAATTTTCAGCACATTTCTATGCATGCCTATTCAGCATTAATCACCATTCAATCCAGTGGGGCTCTCTAGAACAGCCATTCTCAACTTTCTTTTGGCCCCGGCCATAAACACAATATCAAAGAAATATAGGTTGAATAAGTAGATTGTATAAGTAGAATAATAAACCCTATAAGGTGGTGTGTGAAAACTTGTTTCCAGTGTGTGGCCCACTTCAAATGTGCTAGGGACCCCAAGATACAAGGCTATAGCCTTAAAAATTCCAGGCTCCTTCACATCCAACAGGTTCTTTTCCCTGATGGAAGGGGAAGTTGTCCCCTTCTCTTCTGCTTCCTGTGCACCATTAAAACCTATTCCATGAGGCTGTAAAACCAGATGGAAGAAATTTTCAGGTAGCAGAGACACCCAGAAGGTTTGAGGAACTGGACTTCTGCCCCAAAAGCCCATATTAAAATATAGCAGTTTGTCTTTAAGGTGCCACAACATTTTTGTTGTCTTAATTTTTTTCTTTTTCTTTTCTTTTGGCCACAGGGTGAAGGAGATGCCCATTGCTAACAATCAGGCACTGGTGCATTCTTGAACTTAGCTTTAACTATGAATCTCTCAGCTTTTAAATGACTCATTCCCTCTCTTCACTCATGACAACATAGCTTTCTTACATTTCTGTATGTTGTTCGACGATGTAGACCTGCAATGTGATTGATCCATTCCTGATTCCATCTCTGATTCGGTCTCCTATAATACAGGACACAGATCACAAGTGAAATTCCTTGCTGAGAGTCAAGAGGATCCTGTACTAACTAAATCTTAGACATAATGAACATAAAACAAAACAAGCAGAAGATGCCTCATTCACCGAGAAGAAAAAGGTGGGAGATCAAGAACATTTATTGTCCAAATTAGGCGGTCAAGTCTTGAGATGCTATAAGTTATCAGTTGTTTGGTCAGTGGAAAATTCCTAGTAAAATATCCTACTGTTGATGCATACGTACAGTATATGTATATGTGCGTATAAAAAACACTTTTTATTGAAATCAAGAAAGGGTAGAATTTAAAATGTCTCAGGTTCAGCAGACATAGGGAATGAATCTTCTCTCTCAAATATATTTACAAAGAAGACAGATTTGGGAATGGCTAGCAAGATTTTTTTTTAAAAAAAAATGTCCCTAATCAAAGAGACTTTTGATACAAAATACAGAGGAGACAGTTGCAATTTTGCACTCTTTCTTTGCCATGCTCAGCATTAGTTTGAGACACAACCTTGAAAAATTACTTTTTTGGATTATAGCTCCTAGAATCCTCCGAGTCTAGCCAACATGGCCACCAACATTCTAGCTGTCAACTACGATAGATATCAAACAATGGTTAATCCTTTCTAAGGTAGGTTGACTGGATTTTATGGCATAGTAATATCTAGTCACAATTTTAAAGGAAGGGGAAGGCTTGCAACCAACCATACTTAAATGTTTTCAGGAAACCATGACCTGTAATTTCCATGCTAAGAAGAAGCATTCTGCCCATGAGTGGCCATTCTCATGTTTATTGCGTATGCACTGATGGCTTGGTACACAAATTAAAATTCTTGGCTAAACTGTGGCTTAAATTAAATCAACTCACCATAGTGAGGTAGATTAAAGATAAAAAAGCAAACTGATGCTAGTGTAAATCTTGCTTGAACGAGACCAGCAGACCTGCAGGAATGCATTAACTATGGGTCAGTGAACAGAAGGCATGCTGTATGATGCTGTGATGTTACCAGTCTTCCAGCACTGACCTGATATAGTCACTGAAAAATCTGGGTGTGTAAAAGGGCATGGAAGAGCTAAGCTGGACTGTCAGGTTATTTGGTGGTTAAAAATAGATTGTTCAGGTGAGAAGGAACGAAAGGTGGGGTGGCAAGTCACAAAAAGTAAATTGAGGCCACAAACAAGGAAACTTTTCTGTGTGTTTAGGCAAAAGAGCGACAATCTGACTGGTTTTGAAAGTAGAGTTCTAGACCGCGTCTGCAAAACTAAAAGCTTGTTTCTGTGAAAACAGCTATTAAGTGAAAACATTTCTTCTATTCCACACAGTATTTTTAAGAATGTTCAGTACTAAGGATGTAAACTTTTAATTGGTTTAAAACTGAGTTGATTAAACAATTGTTGAGTAACTGTGAGATCTAAAACCAGTAAAGTTGCAAGGCAATGTCATACCATCCCTCACACCTCAGGCTACTTTAGTTCATGTGTGACAACAGAAAGGATTGACTCAATAAAAGAACCCACAGCCTGGAGGTTTACAAGAGCTGAGAGCTATTGGCGACAGGATATTTTTGGAGGTCATTTGTTCATAGACTTGACACAAGTCGGAAGCAACTTGATGGCACAGAACAAATAACAGTACTGTATAATGTGGAATAAAAGAAGAGGAATATGAAATGAGCCAGTGACCTAAATCTAACTGCTAATTCCAACTAAAGCAGACCATTTTTTAACTGAAAAAGCCCACTTGTACCCTTAAGTAGCAAAAAAGGGAAGGGAACCGGGGTGTTGCGGCCTATTTGTCCCCATGCCCTTAGGAATATGAGGCGGCTTCTTGAATCCAAGTTTTCAAAAATTAAATGTTTGTGTATGAGTGTGGGTGGATGAGTGCTACTGTCAACATTTGAGCCTCTCTGGGGCCACACCACCACCTGTCTAGCTTAATTAGGCCTAGCAGCTTGGCTCAGACCCTTGCAATTAACATGGTGGCTGTGCTATTACATTTACTGTGATTGTTTTTAAAACCAAAAGTAGCCTCCCTGGACTAAGAGCCACTGTTCCACACAATTCATGATCATAAAATTTCAGACAGAGAGTGAGAGAGAAAGTTTATCTCCACACCCTTTTTTCAGTTCAGGGATCACATCTAGAAAGGGGCATGGGGGGAGGCTGTTATAAAAATGAAGGGACATACTCCGGAGTTAACCACACCAAAAATGTCTCTGACATCCCGGACGGGCTGCTTGTTCTTCTTCCTCCGAGAGCGGGTGTACGTGTCCAGCCGCCGCTGCACTGCTGCAGCCTGGGTCTTTGTCAAAGTGGAAAGCAGCACAATGTTGCCATTCTCCTCGGCGCCGTCCCCAATCAAGTCAGAGAGTCCGGCATCTTGAAGCCACTCTGCTTCAGCTTCGCCTTCTGAGGGGCCACAATGGAAGCAAAAGAAAAGCAGGAGTTAAAAGACTACCAAGTTACCACTTTTGCAGAACACATTATATGAACTGCTTTCTCTCTCTAGGAACCAGTGATCAGAAGACACACAACACATTGTGCAAGAAAACTGTAATCCCTCAAAAAGTAGTCACAACACTAGTTAGGGTAAGGAAACAAGACACGAAGGGCAAAATAATAGGAAAGCAGGTGGGGAATGTGCCAGATGTTGTAGTTCTGGGATAAACCTTAAAATATATTGGCCCGAGGATTTAACTGCAAAAGAGTCTGGAGGAGAGCAGAGTCAACACATATTATAGCACTTAAGAGGCTATGACATAAACTGAAAGTAGATATGAAGAAATCCCACCCATGCCCACCCCTTGTCTCCTAAGACTAGAACTCAGAGTTATCCTCTTAAGCTGAGTAAGATTCACATGAGAAAAAAAAAGCACACAGCATATTGTTGAAGGGTGGAATTCACAAGAAGTGCTAATGGCTAGCAGAACATGGCAAGTTCATGGAGGATATGGAAGTCAACAGCTACTAGTCACTACAAGCTCGTACATGGAACAGTTAAGGGCATTTAACAGTTTCAAGGCATATCTTTGAATACTGGTTGTTAGGAAGCAAAAGCAAGAAAGTGTATTTTATGTTTGTTCACAAGTGACAACAGCAACAGAATGTTGGCCTTGACTAGCCCTTGGTTTGTTACAGCAAAACTATTATATGTAAAGAATCCATTGCCAATCCAAATGGCACCTTTATCTGAAACTCACCTTGATCTACCAGCCATGGTGATGGATGGTGATGATAATGATGTTGACCTGCAAACATGCCCTGGACGTAGTTCCTCAAATGCCCTCAGCACCTCAAGTGGGAGGCTACTGATTTAGAACTGCATATACAGAGAACTACCCATTATCATGGGATGACTATATCCCATTGAGATAGAAAAACAAGGTGTGAGGTTAAAGTCCTTTAGTTTAATTTCTTTTTCTTTACACAAATTGGTTATCTTCCTCAGATCTCCTGGTGCCTCTTCATACTGAGTCCTATTTACTACTGTACTGAGAAAACCATACCCACACTTTTCCATATGTAACAAGATACATTGATAAAGGCAACTGGACTGGGCTATTTGCAGTGCCATCTGATGATCCAAATAACAATCAGGTATATACTACAGTATCTTCTACAACAGTGATACTGACAAACTTACATTATGCTCTCTCACCCTCCTCCTTCCTCACCCCACAAAACACAGGCCAGAAAAACAATATAATTTTTTTTTCCTGTTACACTGTTGCTTTATTTTGATATGAATTAGCCACAAATATTAAAAGAAATTCCAGGCAAGCACATGACTTCCCCTTTCCTCTTAGAACAGGAAAAGTAATCGTCTCCCCTCAGAGTTTTCATTTCCTCTCTCTTTATGTCTAGCTTGACATACCACAGAGGGAAAGAAGGAATCACAAATAGAGATGGGGGCAGATATAAAAACAGATTGGTTTTTCTGACGAATATAGCTGATTCGTTAAATATCCGTCGACCCGTATTTGTGGGTTCCAGAGGTGCCCCACGAATATGAAGGGACGAATATTTACACTGTTTTTATTCGTACTTTGTATTAAAAAACAAAAACAAAAAAAGCCTGCTGGCCGCTGATCAGCTGATCAATGCCAGAAAGGTAGCCACCACCCCACACAGCCACCCAATACCACAGCCTACCCACTACCCCCTTCCTTTCTCTACCT